TAAATGGTAAATGGACCTGTACTTGTATAGCGCCTTTCTAGTCTTCCGACCACTCAAAGCGCTTTTACACTACGTGCCACATTCACCCTTTCACACACATTCGCACAGTGATGCACGGCATCGGGAGCGATTTGGGGTTCAGTATCTTGCTCAAGGATACTTCGACATGTGGCACCAGGTAAAGGATAGGATAAAGGAACGACCCGCTCTGCCTCTGAGCCACAGCCACTGCGTTACTAACACAACCCAGTTTCTCTGTACTTAAGCTTGCTCAACGACCAGTTGGCTGCATTGCTAAATCAGATTAAAAGCAAGTTTCAAGGGGTACATGTTAACTCTAATTATGTATTACCTCTTGCAAAAAACTCATACCTATAAAATGCCTGATTTTAATGGCTCCCTCTCGAAAAAATTGCAATGCATGCTGCAATGGTTTGCAAGGAAATTGCAGGAGAAAGGGAAAATTGCAATTGTTGTACAATTCTTTAAAAGGCAAAGGCAAAAAGACCAGTCAGAATAAAATGGCTTGTAGTTTGGTGACATATGGTTTAACGTTTAGCGAGGCGGACATATATGATTGGTGAAACTCGCAAGAAACTACAATTCAAAAAGTTGCAGCGATTGGACATGTGAATGCCACTTTTAAAATGCCTGGCCACCTCAGTTTGGTGTAAAATGTAACACATTAATTTATATTAATTTAAAAAGAACATGTTAAAAAACGACATTAACACATAATTGATCTGTTTTTGATCAGTATTTGGAAAAATGTCTAAATTTGAAAAAAAACAACAATTTACTGATTCCACTTTTAGTTTTTATTCAATACTTTACTAATGTGCTGCAATAACGTAATGTTTTTGAGTTAAAATACAGTTGTATGCGAACGTTTGGCCACCCATTAACAAATAACACATTTTGTTGAATTTTTCATTGAAAAGATATAAACACAGCATCTCGAGGTTATGGAACATAAAACACAATATTTGCCACATTCATGCATTGTTTCATTTTATTTCCCAAACTGAACAAAAATAATAAATGTTATACACTGGACCTTAAAAGTCCCCATGAATATTTGTCTAGATCCACTCCTGCATACTTTACCTCAATAGAGTACACCCTTAAATTTTAGAGTAACTTAAACCAGCTCTAAAAGTTTAGTTTTTTATTTTAGCGGGAATCTTACCAGAATTAATAATAATCTGTCAAATATCTTAATCATTGTGAGAGAACACTGAATGAACAGCTTTCTGGATTTGGTTCTGTCACATTATTTCCAACACACAAATAACCTGTCACAAGTATAACGTTATTTATAAAATAAAATAAAACATACCAAGAGGCATGTAAGTAGTAAGCCACTGCAGCTTTACCAGGCTTAGGCTTCTATCTTGAGAACCTTAAGACCAGCTGTCTCGTTCCTCATAAGCTTATAAGATTAACATGGAGAGGTAGCCAATGTTAGCTAACGTTAGCTATGTGATTCAGTTAGCCAAGATCATAAGCCCAACATTAAAAGTATGACTAACTAGCTAAATAAGTCATGTCAGACTCCGTAACATAACCTTTAGCTGAAATATGTTCCAACTGGACGGCACTAAAACTTATGAGCGCTTTACTCAAAAAGAGCTGAAAATCAGACAGAAACCAGGAAGTTGGCTAACGTTAACCCTATCTAACGTCAGCGCTTACCTTGTATAGCGGTCCCCTGTATATGATTAGCAAGAGGCCGTTGATAACTGCAATGTGGATACAAATCGCTATTTTACCGGCAGTCTCCGTCAGATAATCAAAGACCCAGTCAAGATGTCCAAACCAGGTTCTGATCAATGGGATTACAACCACGCTGAGTCCTAAAATAAATGCGTTTATACTTACTCTACCTTCTAGCACCAACTTACTGCCTGCCATGATGGAAGTACTGGGGTTAGGGAACTATCGCGATACCTAAATGGCAACCTTGTGACGTCTATTTGTTAGCAGCAGCTCAGTAGATTTCTAACAAATGAATGCAAGGGAACTTCTGATTGAGTCTGTCTTGTAGTGTAGAGGTCAAACCTTTTTCATGTCAGGGACCTCTACAATTACGACGGAGTATTAGGGCCAGACTAAGAAAATATATATTATATCATATAATAAAAAATATTTTTTTGGAAATTACGAGAATAAAGTCGTAATAATAGGAGCTCAACCAAACAGCAGCCTCAGCCTGAGCCCAGCAGCCGCTGTTTATCTCAGTCGTACCGTACAGTCAACAGGTAAGCTAACGTTTTGATAATTTCGTCGTTAAACAGTTTTGCTGGCTGAGCCAACAGGCTGACCGTTCTCATAAAATTACGACTTTATTCTCGTAGACCTAATATTATGACTTTATTCTCGTAATTTCCAAAAATATATATATTTTTCTCTTAGTATGGCCCTAATACTCCGTCGTACACAATAGATGCACATCAAAAACCCACTTTTTGAGAAGATTTTGTCTTAAGGAATCCCCTCTTTCAGTCAATGATCAAGGGATCAAGGAAATATCATCATTACACAACACAAGGCTGGATAACAAAATTAGTAATTTGTAGTTCCTTCATGATACACACATAAGACACAAGGTAACTAAATTCGTAGAATAACATAAAATATGGATAAAACAGAGAAAAAAAAATAAACTTAAGTATTCAAGTTATTTATATAGGCTTACATATAGATATATATGTAAGATAAGATAAGATATTCCTTTATTTATCCCCCTTAGGAGAAATTCAAGTTGACACAGCAGCAATGGGGCCAAATAGTGCAAAAACAGAGAAAGAATATCACAATAGAAATATTACCAATATTTTTAATATTAGAAGATATAAAACTATAAATTAAAGTATATGCACTATGCATTGTTCAAGTAGGATATGGAATGCAAAATATAAGCGGAAAATTAAACTTGACTAAAACTAAAAAACTAAAACTACTAAAGTGGAAATTAAATATAAATAGTGCAAAAGGCTTGTGCATTGTAGGAAGGAGTTTTAAACCAGTCTTTGTCTGCGGGGGTTGGAGGTACTGGGTGCTGTGGTGTTGTGGAGCCTCCAAAACCACTTTGAACCTCGGGGCTGGGTCAGTCTGTGGCTGAAAGTGCTCCTGAGCTGCCTAAGCTCAGTGTAGAGAGGATGAAAAGGGTTGTCGATGATGGCTTCCCTCTCATCCTCTTTTCAGTCACAGCCTCCACACTGTCCAGCTCCATCCCGACCACCGAGCTGGCCTTCCTCACCAGCTGGCTAAGCTTGTTGGCACCCCCAGTTCCGATGCCTCCCCCCAACAGACCACTGTAAAGAAGAGGACACTGGCTACTACAGACTGGTAGAACATCTGTAGTAGCCGAGTGCACACGTTGAATGACCTGAGCCTCCTCAGAAAGAACAGCCTGCTCTGTCCTTTCCTGTAGAGGGCCTCAGTGTGATCCGTCCAGTCCAGTTTATTGTTGAGTGTCACCCCAGGAACTTGTAGGTGTCCACATGTATACATCGAAGAAATAAATCTGCATCATCTTTTTGATTTTGCGCCTGGTTGATTGTAAACAGCAGCAACAAGATAGTGATGATAATGTGGTAAATGGACCTGTACTTGTATAGCGCCTTTCTAGTCTTCCGACCACTCAAAGCACTTTTACACTATGTGCCTTTCATACACATTCACACACCGATGCACAGCATCAGGAGCAATTCAGGGTTCAGTATCTTGCTCAAGGAACCGGCTCTTCCGGGGCCACAGCCACCCCTGTCATCTTCACATAAAAAGTAACTAACCCTAACCCCCCTTGACAAATAACGCAAGGTCCTTTTTAAAAATAAATAAATAAAAAGATGTAAACACAGCCTCTCGAGGGTAAGGTACATAAAACACAATATTCATATAATTGTTTTGTGTTATTTCATAAATTGAATGAAAATTAAAGAAATAAAAACATCATTGTGGCATGTGCAAAAATTTGGCCTATCTAACTGTTCTGCAGTCTCAGACCTTCATCAGTTTCTTAGGCCTGAGGCATGTCAGCAATTATGATTGACAAAGCGTCAGTTGGTGCCAATTTTAAAACCTGTGAACACCAACCATGGGTCCCTCTAAGCAGCTTTGAAAATGAAATTTCTTGATTTGTTAAATTTATAAAATGAAACGAAACAATACATGTTTGCTGTAAATATTGTGTTTTATGTTCCATACCCTCGAGAGGCTGTGTTTGCATTTTTTCAATGAAATAAATACAAATCAATCAATCAAAATGTGTTATTTGTCAAGGGGAGGCCAAACCTTCACATAGAATATGTATTCTATTCCTTCTCTTGCTGGGGACCCCCGACAACACACTGAAGGACTCCTATTGGTCCCCAGTCTGAAAACCACTGCTGTAGTGTATGCGCAGATAAACTCCAGTGAAATGTACTTATCCTGAAATTGGTGGCAATATACAGACAGATGACAAAGAAATACCTGAATGAATGAAGAAAACATGACACATGCAGGTGCTTTCAAGAAAAAGTATATGAATCAATTGAGCAACCATGGGAGAATGGAGAGGGTTCCAGAGACTAGGTTTTTGTTGGTTTTTCCTTGAAAATGTCACCCATCTGTATTTTACCACCTTTCAATTATTTCTTGCAAAACAAGGGGCACACTCATTTTGGCCAGCCAGCCCCCCCTACCCACGTTAATCCAGCACTCACTCACTATGGAGCAACATAGCTGGGAACCTCGCTTATCTCACCAGAGAACATACAATTATATGAAATAGATTATGTTTAGGTGTGTTTTTTATTTTTACCAATTGCTCAAACCTAACATTGAAGAGCATATAAAAATATGGTGTGGGTTTGTTTGAAGGTGAGACGTACAAACAGCAGTTAGTAAGGTAGAGAAAGAAGACATCAAAAGATGACCCTTGTCTACAAATCAGTAGGCACATGATGGAGTTAGTGCAGCACTGGTGCTGCAAAAGAAACTTGAGGCACATGTAGATTTTGTGAGTTTAATTAGTTAAAATATATATATATATATATATATATATATATATATATATATATATATATATATATATATGCGCATTTTATTTCTCCATTACATTTTCACTTTTCATGAAAATTAATTTACAGTTACATTACAAAGCCCTTCCACCCTTGTGACAAAACTTTACTCTGCTTACTAGAGTGAGTGTCACTCTCTCCATAAACTCTGAGTCTTGTCATGAGCCAGATGTCCCTTCCCTGTGTCCATTCTGTGTGATAGTGTAAAAGAAGACTTAGTGGCAGACAGCAGTGCAGGCCGATAGCTGTCTTTAAAGGATATAGTAAATCTGGTAATATTAATATCCTGAAAAGACCCAGACCAACAGTGAATGTATCTACTAACAAGTATTGTGTGTGATTGTGTGTGTGTGTGTGTGTGTGTGTGTGTGTATCAAAGCCTGATATATCTTCTTTCTCTGTGCCATAGAGCTCCATCACTCTCCAAAAACTATTAAAAATACATCACTTAGCCACACTGTTGCACTAGTTTATTTTATTGTATCTTCAAATACTCACTAGAGCACCAAATGTGGATTCATCCTCCACTCCAAATAGCCCCAAACAAAAGCACTATTACCTCCTGTTTTTTTTTTTTTTTTTTTTTTGATAAAAACTAGTGTCCAGCTGTTTTAGGAAATAACTGAGCCTGTATAGCCTGTATGGGCTTGGACATTGGTGGTTTTCAACAAAGTCTTTAATTAAAAAAAAAATATATATAATTTAAATAACATCTGTACAATGTTGATTATTTGTATTCACTTCATTAACAATATTTGTCCCTGAGATCTACTTAAACATTGTTAATAAAGTGAATAACAAACGTAACAGTGTGCTGGATTCTTTGTTTTTTTTCACAGTAAAGAATTTTGTTCCTAGGTACCTGTCCATGATTGGTCAGCGAGAATGTGGTTAAAATCGTTGTAGGTGGGTTCAAAACAGTGGTGTGTTTAGCTTAGCACTGGAAGCAGACGCAAACTGGTAGCTTCTGCTAAAAGTGCTGACTGATGCAGTGCAACTACCAACAACTATCAACCACTAACATCTATTGGATAGATTGCCAAAAACCTTGTTTCAGACATTAATGGTCTCCATTAGGATGTAGGATGTTCCCTAATGATTTCAGTGACCTCTAGAAGAAGATACAAGAAAAATGAAGCAAAATATAAGAAATACAAATACGTTTCCATTATACTATAATACATTGAGTTGTCCTTTATCGAATCTTCTCTGGTCTTCACTCACAGCAGGAACATCAGCAGCAGATACTGACTGACCTATCAACACATCCAACATCTCTTTGTACTGCTTCTTATGGTGAGGACGAATAAACATGCCAAACCCTTGAAAAAAGAGAGTGAATAGTGAGGACCACTGACGAGAAATATTTTTTGAAACCTCCAAAATGTGAAAAGAATGTAAATTTGAAAAATATTGATTTTAAAAGAACTTACTGACTAGAAGATTCAAGTCCTCATCTCTCTCCGTGAATAAGCTCACCACTGTGGTCACCAGGTTTTCGTAGTTGTCGGTCTTCTTGTAGCTGTAAATGGCCTGAAAGAGCTGCGCAGATTTTTCTGGTCCAAGGGCTTTTTTTACATCAGCGAGAAACGTGGCATGCACTTCACTCTTTGGAGCAGAGCCAGAACCTGATTAACACGAGAGGAAAGTACTGAGCTTTATTTTCAATGCTTAATAACTATTCATTCAACACATGTACTACACTTTGTCTAGGCAGGCTAACAACTACACTACATTAAAACCAAATCCAACACAAGTAACCAAAGTCAAGGAACGCAGAGGTTTATTAACCTAGATTATTTAGACTCCTCAAATTTGTCCCTATTTGATGGTCTTCTATTTTATGACTGATAGGTAGTTATGTGCACATTTCCTGCTTGATGTATTTATGAGTAAGTGGGACCTGCACAAGGTAAAAGACTCTAAAAATGGAAACCCAAACATGGATATATTGAGGAAAACAAATATTTTTTTCATACTACCATATGGGGCACTCTAAAGGCTGTCATGCGGGGGAAATTAATAGCTTTCACCTCACAAAATTAGACTAAATATCTTCATTTGGCTTTAAAGCTACTCACAAAACTCAATGTTTTCAAGAAATAAAGAGCACTAAAGGGGAAATAGGCAATATTTTGAGAGGGAAAGAGAAAAACTATGAATGAAGCAGGATGATTATGAGGATGGTCACAAAGCTACTAGGCTATTGGCAAAGTGACTTAGGAAACAGACAGTAAAAAAGATACATAAGATCAGAGACCTTTGAGACAAACGCCCTCGTCTAGTGAGGATGCAAAAACACAGTTCTTAATTCTCTTGATTTACCAACTTTGGAGAAATTCAAAATAACAACCTCACAGCACCTATTATACCTGATGAAATAGCTAAATGCATATTCAGAGTTGAGGCTAATAAGACTCCTGGAAGCAATGGTTTTCCATTGGAGTATTGGTATTGAGCCCTTAAAGAAGAACTAACACCCCTTTGTAGGTACTGTAGCAACTTTAGACTTATATCTATTCTCAACGTGGACTACAATATATACACACATCTATTATAGCAAAGAGATATGAGAAATATATGACTGATCTGACTGATTAAGACCAAACTGGACGTTGAATGTAAGAAAACATTACGAGGAGGCTTTTGATAGGGTGAACTGGCCGTTCCTATAGTTGGTCTTAGAGCAGTTTGGTTTCAACAAAGACTCAATCAACTGCACAAAAAACTAGCAAAATCCTACGACTAGAATAAAAATGTATGGTCAAGGCTGCTGCTTATTCCCCCCTCCTTTTTTAAATTTAACATTTCCTGGGGTGGTAAAGTGAAAAGATATAAAGATTCAATCCCTAATTGGTAATGTCAAACTAGTAAAGGCAATACAAGATTCAGTAGACACATTGGGTTTGATCTAATTAAAGTGTATAAAGATCTAATTAAACTGTATAAAGTAGAAAGGTGAGTGAGACTACTAAGTTGGTTTGCCTATGATGACATATTTGAAGGACCAGAACTTTAGAATTTGGTAGAGAAAGGGGATCACAGCAATGTGTACAATAATTAAGAATGAAAATGTTATTATTATTATCATCCTTATTTATCATTCCCCATTGTTCTGGCTGTAGTCGTAGTCATCATAATCTACTAGTATTGTTGTTGCTGTGTATCTTTGTCTCTGTCCTTCTGTCTTTACCTCTCTTTTGAATTGTATCTGCCCTTCCGTCAGTAATGATCACCATGATGTTTTTTATTTTATTTTCTTATATGACTGGTTGTAAAAATAAGTTCATAAACAGAATTCTTTTGACTGTATGCACAATCAAAATCTTAATAAATATTAATGTTTCAAAAAATATATTTTAGTTATCTTATATCCAGAAGTACAATATTACGAGTTAAAATTGAATTGTACATATTTGAAACTGGAGTCAAAACTTCAATAGAAAACTGGCGTTATTACTAGTAATAGTACTTCTATTACTATTAAGTATTTCTTAATGATCTATATTTAAACCTGCAAGTGCATTGCTTTATAATTACTGAATTCAAAAGGTATATGGATGTTCTATCCTACCAGTCTGAGGTTCTCTTAATCCTTGCTGGTTTAGGTGGTGTCCTCCTTTGTTGAGTTTCTGTGTGTTCAGCTGACTGCAGGTCGATGTCCCACTGGAGGAGGTCTGACCCACAGTGGGCTGTCTGTCTGTAGCTTTAAGAAAACAAAACACAGTTACAGACTTTTCCTTCCCTACCATACTGTCAGTTAGGTCGACAGGAATCAGGTAAGCACAGATAAGCCCTACACCTAGGGATATTATCGCATATTGTGATTAAAAAAACACTAAAACAAGTATATTGTGGTAAATTTGCATTATTGGGATAATTGGAAATATCATCACATGGAGTCACATGAAAAAGTTGTTTGGCTTGTTAGAGTACAGTCAATTCAATTAAATTCAAATGGCTTTATTGGCATGATGTAACACTGTACATATTGCCAAAGCAAGCGTATGGAATTAAAAATAATAATAACAATAAAGGAAAACAATATTTACAATAAATTAATTATAATCTATATACTGTTGGTAATACTGTAACTATGATTGACTCAATCACAATCACAGTCACAATCAATCAATCTCAGTCAATAAGTAATTAATTACAATGAATGAATGAATCAGTTTGTGTCAACTAAAAATGTCTACAGTTAAAACAAGTAGTCTGTTGTCAATATAACAGTAATTACAAATTATTAAATATAATATATAATATATATAATATTAAAATATATTAAAATAAAAATAAAATAGATAAAACTGTAAACGTGTGTGTGTGTGAGTGTGTGGCATAAGGAGACATATTTTGCTGCAATAATTTGACTTTTTGGCATTTCTCCCAGTAAATAGGAGTTTCTGTGTGTCTGCTAATAATTTGAATTCGGGGTATATTTGGGAAATGTTTGCGAATAGTTTTTCTCTTAAAGTTTTGAATTTAGGGCATGAGATTAGAAAGTGCAGCTCTGTCTCTACCTGTCCTCTGTCACACTGGGAGCAGAGTCTCTCCTCTTCTGGTAGCCAGTTCTGTCTGTGGCGACCCGTTTCTATGGCCAGGCTGTGTTCACTCAGTCTGTACATTGTCAACATTTTTCTTAATTTAGGACATTTTATTGTGCTCAGGTAATTTGCCAGTTTGAATTCTCTTTTTAGGGTCAGATAACATTGTAATTTACTTTGTGTTTTGGTCGTTTCTTTCCAGTATTCAATATATTTTTCTTTTTGCTTGTTGATAATTTGGTTTGGTCTGATTGACTTGGTGTTGCTGTCCTGAGGCTGTTGGGGACATGTTACTGCAGAGAGCCTCAGGACCAGCTGGCTGAGGGGACTCTTCTCTGGTTTCAGCTCCTGGTATGTTAGGGCTTTATGATGGTATGTCTGGGGGTTAACTGATTTTAAGTTATTGTAAAATGTAATTGATCTTTTCTGTATTTTTAGTAGGAGGGGGTATTGGCCGAGCTCTGCTCCACAGTCTTGACTTTGCTGATTTATTTTTGTCACAATATAGAGCGTGCTTCTTTCCAAAATCCTAAGCATCATCTTTGCTGAAGGCTTGATTAACCCACTGTATCCACCATAAAAGATGTGTGAAAATACTATGGATTTCAAACCAAAGAACGACACCTCAGATGAGGTGCCTATCGCAGGTGTCCTATCTGTGATGTAATAAAAATGTGTTTTGTTTCTTAACTAAATGTAAGGTAAAGTAGTTCCAGTATGTTTTTGATGATTGTGATATCATAGGTCGCAATTATTTTGGACAGAATAATTGTAATATACAATGTTCATATTGTCCCATGCCTACCTCAACCTTTCACCATATTCATTTGAAAGACACACATCTCTGAATGAACACACAAATATCAAACAGTTTGAACCTTCTTTGTCATGTTGGTAAACTGTCCCAAAACTACTGACCAGGAAAATTACAATGTTTTTTAAAAAAAATAATGCATGCAGATACTATAGCTTGAAAAAATATTGAAATAATTTCCATAACTTGAAACAAGACTTTATATTGTTATATTGTTTTACAGGTATTTTAAAAAGGTCCAGTGTGCATCATTCAGGAGGATCTATTGGCTTCATCTTCATAGGTATGTTTTCATTAGTAAGTAAAGTAACTAAGTACTTAAGTAAAGTAACTACGTAAGTAAGTACTTACTTAAGTAAAGCTTTATTTATATAGCACCTTTTTGACACAGAGATCCAAAGTGCTTTACAAACAACAAATATACATATAAGTATAACCATACCCAATCAAACAAACATAGGGAGCATGTAAATACAAACATAAGGAAGATAAAACAAGAGGGAAATATTAATTAAAAGAGACGACAGATGAGAAAACAAACAAACAAGGAGATCTATAAAAAGGTTTGCCTGTAGAGGTGGGTTTGAGGAGCTGCTTAAAACAGTCCACAGATTCAGTGAATCTGAGTGATTGGGGAAGACTGTTCCACAATGATGGGGCTAAAACAGCAAAGGCACAGTCACCTTTAGTTTTGCAGTAAGAGCAGGGAATGGATAAAATGCCGAGATTTGAGGAGCGAAGTGGCTGAGGAGAGGAATGAGGAACAACGAGATCTGAAATGTAACTGGGGGCAAGGTCATTAGTATTTAATCATCTGAGTATATGTTTTTGTTAGCTTAGAATGAGCCGTTTATATCTATAGATACCACAAGTAGCCTTCCGTAGAGGCCGCAATGTTGAAGTAGTAGGCGAGAAGGGAAAAATCAAACACTGTAGAAAGGGCCGTTCATGTTTTTTCACCTGTTTCGCCACTATTGTAGTTTCTCCCCCACGCTTAGGAGGGGAGGGTGATGTGATCTGCAAATACAACGCTAGATGCCACTAAATCCTACACACTGGATCTTTAAGTGAGCCACTATGGCCACATGTAACAATTACAAGAAAATGGTAAACACTAAAACACTGACTGAGTAACGTCAGTTGCCGAGAAAATATCCATCTAAAGCTAGCCAACATTAGCAACCATCTAAAGATAGCCATCAATATCAGAATCAGAATCAGCTACCATAAGGTATGCTACACACGTGGACAAAATTGTTGGTACCCTTCTGTTAAAGAAAGAAAAACCCACAATGGTCACTGAAATAACTTGAAACTGACAAAAGAAATAATAAATAAAAAATGTACTGAAAATTAACTTAACTTTTGAATTGTGGTTCAACAGAATAATTTTAAAAAACAAACTAATGAAACTGGCCTGGACCCTGAACTTAATATTTTGTTGAACAACCCTTTGAGGCCATCACTGCAATCAAGCGATTTCTGTACCTCTCAATGAGACTTCTGCACCTGTCAACAGGTATTTTAGCCCACTCCTCGTGAGCAAACTGCTCCAGCTCTCTTAGGTTTAAGGGGGGCCTTCTCCAGACTGCATGTTTCAGCTCCTTTCACAGATGTTCAATAGGATTTAGATCAGGGCTCAAAGAAGGCCACTTCAGAATAGTCCAATATTTTGCTCTTACCCATTGTTGGGTGTTTTTAGCTGTGTGTTTTGGGTCATTACCTTGTTGGAGGACCCATGACCTGCAACTGATACCAAGCTTTCTGACTGGACAGCACATTTCGCTCCATAATGGCTTGATAGTCTTGAAATTTCATTGTACCCTGCACAGATTCAAGACACCCTGTGCCAGATGAGGCAAAACAGGCCCAGAACATAACTGAGCCTCCTCCATGTTTCACAGTAGGTACAGTGTTGTGTCTGTGAACATAGAGCTCATGTGACTCACGAAAAAGCTCCAGTTTTGTCTCATCTGTCCAAAGGATATTCTCCCAGAAGCTTTGTGGCTTGTCAATAGGGCTGGGTATTGTTTAACAATTTTCAATACCAATACCAGTACCCTTAACACGATACCGATATCAATTGTACTTCATTCAAAAAAAAGCAATCGGTTGCGCAAATGTCACCACTCCTCCCCATTCAAAAGATTTTTACACTAATACATTTTGAAAGGGACACGCAAGCAGATATTTGTTTGGTATGATCCGGTTTTAAATTTTAATGTTTTTCCACCAGATTACATAAAGGTGCATACACATACCACATAGCTAATAATAAATATGCAAGATACAGCTCATGACAACGTGCCCTTCCAATTCAGATTACATAGGTCTAATAAACATCATACAGAAACTGTTCTTAATGTTTTTATCTGGATAGATCTAGGGTAAAAAAATGCAGCACCTTCTGTTTCAGATGTATAGGCTTTGCCTATACATTTAAGTATCAGCATTTTCAGAATTTCAGTCCAACAACCGATGTTAGCTCAGGTTAAGTTCACTGTCGCTGAGAGCTTGATTGACAGCCTGGTGGTAGCAACTGCATGAGCCATGTTGTGGCAAATCAACACATGGCTCATTTGAATATTAAAATTAGCCATGTGTTGATAGGTCACCACACGAAAATGTAACCAATGAAATTACTAAAAGCTGGACAAATGGTGTCCTGTTGAGATGATGACGACGACGACGCTGGTGTTGTAGACGCTGGCTTCTCAAAAACAGTGCAGTTGTCCACACTGAAGTTTGTTCCGTGCATGATGAGGTGCTTCATTATGTTGCTAGTATTCCCCGTTTTCCCCTGAAATAATCTTGCCGCATTTGATGCATCTATTTGTACCCGGCGCCACAGGCATGTAGTACAACCATACTTTTGAACGTTTTGCTGCCGGCATCTCGGAATGCTGACCAGCCAACTCCGCCACAGACTAAGCACGCACGCTTTACCGCCATACAAAGCAAAACCATAGAAACAGTCTTTTTTTTCTTGATCTGGGTAGTGGGTACAAAAAGTACCGATTGCAGGTATCGTTTGACAGGCGCAGTTTCGATACTACTTGGTACCGGGTTGTTTCGGTGGATACCTGAAAGGTATCGAGTACCGATACCCAGCCCTACTTGTCAATATGCATTTTGGCAAATTCCAGTCTTGCTTTTTTATGATTTGCTTTCAACAGTGGTGTCCTCCTCGGTCGTCTTCCATTCAGTCCACTTTGGCTTAAAAAGCGACAGATGGTGCGATCTGAACTGAACTACCTTGACCTTGGAGTTCACCTCTGATCTCTTTGGAAGTTGTTCTAGGCTCTTTGGTTACTATTCGTATTATCCGTCTCTTCAATTTGTAATACATTTTCCTCTTGCGGCCATGTTCAGGGAGGATGGCTACATACCCGTGGACCTAAACTTCTGAACTATGTGCAACTGTAGTCACAGGAACATGAAGCTGCTTGGAGATGGTCTTATAGCCTTTACCTTTAACATGCTTGCCTATAATTTTCTTTCTAATCTCCTGAGACAACTCTCTCCTTAGCTTTCTGTGGTCCATGTACAGTGTGGTACACACCATGATACCTGTCAGCACAGTGACTACATTTCACCCTTTAAATAGGCACACTGACTGATTACAAGTTTGAAGAAACCTGTGATGCTAATTACAGGACATACCTTATTTATTATTACTTATTATTTATTTTAGCGTAGACTAGTTCTGTTTAATCACTCGGACACACATCCTGCTTTAAGCGACTTTTTATTAATTAACACAATTGTTCACATGCTCCCTCTGCTGCTCTTTTCTGCTCAGAGTGCAGTGTTCTCAAGATTCTTGAGAAAATAGTTGCCAAACAGTTGTGTGACTTTCTACATAACAGCTTATTTGAGAATTTTCACACGTTAATGATGAATCCTCCATGCACACTAAAGTTAGGCATGACGTTCCACAAGGTTCTGTGTTTGGACCAATTCTATTCACCTTATATATGCTTCCTTTAGGAAACATTATTAGGAATCACCCAGTTATATCCATCGATCAAGCCTGATGAAATTCATCAATTAGCTAAAGTACAAGCATGCCTTAAGTAAATAGAAACCTGGATGACCTGCAATTTTCTGAAAATGAATAAGTGCTTGGCCCAAAACACCTCCGAGACTCACTGTCTAAATATACAATTACTCTAGATGGCATTACCTTGGCCTCCAGCACCACTGTCAGGAATCTTGGAGTTATCTTTGATGAAGATAAGTCCTTCAACTCCCACATAAGGCAAACTTCTAGGACTGCCTTTTTTCACGTAACATTGCAAAAATCCGACACATCCTTTCACAGACAGATGTAGACAAACTAGTCCATGCATTTATTACTTCTAGGCTGGATTACTGTAATTCCTTATTATCAGGCTGCCTCAATAAACTCATTAAGATGCCATTATTGATTTAGAAGATGCAGCACAAGTACTGACAGGAACTAGGAAAAGAGATCCTATTTCTCCTGTGTTAGCTTTTCTGCACTGGCTCCCTGTAAAATTCAGAATAGAATTTGAAATCCTCCTCCTCACCTACAAAGCTCTTCATGGTCAGGCACCTTCATATCTTAAAGAGCTTATAATACCCTATTAGCCTACTACAACACTGCGCTGTGTGAATGCATGGCTACTTGCATTTCCTATACTCCCCAAAAGTAGAACAGGAGCCAGTGCATTCAGCTACCAAGCTCCTCTCCTGTGGAACCAGCTTCCAGTTTGGGTTCAGGAGGCAAGCATCCTCTCCACATCAAGTCGTAAGACATTCCTCTTTGATAAAGCTTTGAAACCCCAACAGTAACAGCCAACATGTTGTCACTTAATATTGAAGCAGAAAATGATTCACTGATAATGAATCAATTGTCATTTAAAATCCAACCACTCTCTGGATGCAGTTTCCAATGTGAGCATTTTTTGTTTTGTTTCATTTTATATAATTGTAAACTAAATATTATCATTAGAAATAAAGTGTCTTTGGGTTTTGGTATTTTGTATAAACACAATAAGCAACTTGATTATGTCATCAGACTTTGAAAAAAATGTATATATTATTTTAAAAATATTGCATCTTGGAACTTGCCCAGCCCTGTCAGACACATTTTCAACATGAAAAGAAGGTGCAGTATTGGGTTGGGATGAGTGTTTCATACCACTGTACAGCATCAGTGCTTTCTTCTTGTCCTTAGCCAGAGATTGATCAGGTTTGAATCCACAGCCCTGCCCGGTCAGCTCCTGGCATTTCTCATCAAACCTCTTTTTATGATGTGGGCGGACAAACTGGTAGACACCTGTGACACAGTGGCTCCCTTTAAGATCAGCTAGTGACAATGTTAACATAGACATAGGAAGACACATAGACACAGTCTGGATGCTCAGGCAAAAACAAGCAAACTAAATATATCACTATTATTTTCAACTCTTTCCATCCTTGCAGACAGACAATCCCCTCTTGAGTATGCAGTAATGTTTGGTCTATTCTGGTAACACTTGTTGGCCTCTTAAGTCTGTTTAGACCTGGTACTAACATGCGTTGTAATCGTCTTGGGTGATTTAATCACAATTGGACAGAAATATGTCACTTTACATGTGGCATTAGAATGTGCCTCGAGTTACTTATGATCGGATCTCACTTCCCGGCTTTATATCAAATAAACACTTTTAATTTCAAATCTCAAAATTTTATAAGTCAGTGTCCATTATTAGTCCTTTTTATTGACATTTTTGCTTTTTTGACTGTGTGGAAATCTTATGTTTTCACATCACAGAGACAGTGTCTCTTGTGGGATGCTGAGAGGCTTTCAGCCTTAAGAGTCACTTCTCAGTGGACAGCAGTCGAGGAAGTTGTAGCCTATAATAACTAAGTAAGAAAGAACTTAATATGTAACATTTCCTGAATTTACAAGGCCCACATAATCTGTCATAGATAGCATTTCACAAGGTTTATAAAGTTTCTCCTGTCACAATTCTCAAAATTATGCATTTTTTAAAGGGAGTCTGGGGATAATGTGGTTACTAGTTCAATGGTCAAATAAATTGAAACGGACAGAGTTGTTCACGAACATCTATTATCTTGGGAGGTAAAAAAGCCTTATAATGCAAACTGCACTACAGTGAACCAAACAGACGTGTGCTTACAGTATGTTAGTGAGAAGTGTCCACTTTCGATCAGATCACCCCAGATGCAGGTTAATACCAGGTGTAAACAGGCTCGTTGTTTCTCCACAGAATGTTTTGTTTGTACCCCTCCTGGGTAGAATACTGGAGTGGAGACCACATTAAGAATTAAAGCCTCTGTGAAGGCCCGCAAACATAAACAAAACTTAACACACAGTGAGGACAGAAAACCCCTGTACAATGAAATCCAAGCAAACACAGTCCTGTAAGAATGTGACTAGGAGTCTCTCAGGCTATACTCCAGCACAGCGGTGATGGGAGCTAAATGTTAACACGTTTGCACTAAACTTTTAAAATTAGTTTTGCTATTTGGTCATAAACCAAAGTATTGGACAAATCTGGTGTTGGTGCTAGATGAAAAGTCAGAGGATCACCAAAACCATATTATAATATATCCTGAGAAATATGAATCTCTGAACCAAAATTTCATTAAAATCCTATAGTAGTTGAGATATTTTAGACAGACCAACAATGCCTTAACTGCAGACTGTTATTTACCACAATTTAAAGCTCACTGACTAAAACCAGGTGCTTAAACACAGCGTAAATGTCCTTGCTGTTGAGCAGAAGACTTACCCCGGAGCAGACTATGAGTATTAGTGTCTTCACTTAAGACAGCTGTCTCAGTCAGCAGGACGTCCAGGTTGTCTGTCTTCTTGTAAGTCTGCAGAGCCTGTACAATGCGGTCAAAGGTAACCTGGCTCAGTGACTTCTTCATCTCTGCCAGAAAATTCTTTGCCCTCCTTGCTTTACCTTCCTCAGACACATCCTCCAACCTGCTCATTTTCTTCAAGGATGCAGAACAAAAATACTATTCACATTTACAATTCACAATGAAACTGTTTTTCAATAAAAAATAAATAAAAAAAGATATCAGAGACACCATACATATGATTTTTTAAATTTGGCTATAGTAATTTGATCAAGAATGCGTTGAAGACGGCAACAAATACGTGTGTTTCTCTTTTGTGCACAGTACAACAACACTACAGGACACATTTAATTTGATTTAATTGATAGTAAAACTACATAATAATAAAGAGATGATTAAATGTGTCTACTATCATTATTTTTCTTAATTAATAATTTAATCTTGAAATGGAATCAGATAAATGTTAAGTGTCTTACGATATTCCTTTCTAATAATTAATTTGTTTCCTGCTTTAACATTGAATTTTTAATTTTGTAATCCATTTAATAAGAAGACTCTATAATTTCTCTATCATTTAAAGATGAGTAAGTATTTAATATGAGGTTCATAAGGCTATGACTGGCCAGCTCTTACGTGTTAGGTCTGGCCATCAATCTGGTTGTTATTACTGCAGTGATTGTGTTTGACAAGTCAAAAATTTTGCCAAAATCTGACATTTATGTATGATTGTGCTCAGAATTAAATGTTTCTTCTGTATGAGTAGAACTTTTGGCCTAGTATAGTTGTGAAGATACTTTGTATGTCTTCATCATCCCCTTGACTAAAAAGTCTATAATTCAGTTGCAATTGTCACTTGAACTCTAACACAGCCTGGCACTGTTTCTTAATGTAAAATGTACCTGTTCTTGGACCAACTTGATTTTACGTTTGCCTCCCCGCAATTCATCATCCATCCTCTTGTCATATTGAAGAGAAAGTGTGGACAAACTATTTGCCTTCAAAAGAAAATGCAGAATTGAACAAATAAATATAGTTCTCACAAATAATTTGAGGTTTGTTTATATTTTTGCACCAGAGTAATTGTTGTTTCATTGTTTCATCGGTAATAGGTCTACTGGTCTACTGATTCACTTCACACATGGGTTCTCGCCCATGTGTATGTGTGAATCTCACTGAAAATGGAACTACCAGACAATTAAACTGGCTATTGAATACATAAGCCTTATGTTTCCACAAGTACAAATGTCAAAAACAGAGCTTTTTGTTGCTTTTGATTAGTAGGACAGACCACAGTGTCTCACAGAAGACAAGTTACCTTCTCCTCTCCCACAACAGCATCATCGTCCTCTGCACTGCAATGGTCACCTCGTTCCAGGAAATCCAGCAGGTTGGCTGGTCTCCTCTGACTCTCCTGCACCTCACACTCATACTCCATGCAGATACTGGCCATCCCCTTGGCTCCTGTGTGTTCATCTAATCACAAAGACCAGAAAACAGCTACCAATTTAATGAAGGCCTAACAGGTGGCATGAAAACACACCCTTTATTTTTATACTCACTGAGTCTCCTCCTCTTCAGGCTGGGAAGGTGGGCATCCAGCATCTTGGCCTTCTGGGTATGGGAGCTTTGGGAGGATGAGCAGGAAGTGAGGGAAGAGGACTGAGTGTGTGGTAAACACACTGTTCTACAGCTCTCTGGTGCAGCCTTCTTCTCTACCACAGGCCTCTGGCACATTCAAACACAATCACAGACCGTCAGCTGACAAATTAAACACAAAATCAGGTCAGATTTTCAGGGTTGTGACTGCTTTCCAGGTGCATGTGACGTATTCTACCACAGACACGTGCTGTATTAATCAAACAGACACAGCAGGCTGGAGTCACAGTTTACATTACATTTTGGTGAATGATTGCAGTGTGTATCTCTCTTATTGCATATGCATTTGAGGGAGGATTACAAATAAGAGAACCAATTTTCCCAAGAGGTTAATTATGTAATCCACTGGATTGAAGGTCAGTTTGTTTCCAAATTCTCCAACCTCAAATCTCAATAACAGCAATCAGAGACTAGTCTCACCACAAAAATAACCAGAGAGCTCTAGTGCATATAAATAATAAGGTATACTATATATGAATCTGATTCGTAGCAAGATAAATAGAGTGATAATTATTCCTGAACATAACCAAATAAACTGAGGGTGGGAAGTTGTAGTTTAGGTTATAGAATGCTATATACAATTTGCTCCGCCCTGTCTCTCTCCGTCTCTCCTTCTAACACTGGCTGCCAAGGTTTGTGTATTTGTTTATCTCATTCCATCTCTTTTTTTCTTTCTAAAATAAGTTGTCTGTCATCTATTGTATTAATAATATAATAATAGCATGTAAGATTATCATTTCATAACTAATAAACCTTTTTTCTCATGTGGATCCAACTGTTAACATGTATATTACATTCTGACTATGTATGCCATTATGTTGCAAATAACTGGCAGAAGATTGTAGCTAGGTACTGTAACGGTAAAGATTCATCCTCGTAAACCGGATCCTGATCGGAGCACCCTTGATTATTTAACCATTTTTTAAACTAATAACTAACAGCAGTCAACGTCAGACAACACTATCATACTTGAACAGTTACCTCATGTTTGTGAAGTGGTGACAAAATGTTAAAAATTAGACATATCAGAATTGAATATGAACATGAATTCCACTAAAAGCTCCCTGCACCAAACTCCCTTTAAGAAACAAGACATGTGTCCATAAAAACATGACTAGAAGGATAAGCTAAATGCCACTATTTGTTGACTGTCTTCTTGTCAGCGTTCTGCTTCCATTGTAGCTGCGCTCTTTCAGTAGGAGACCGTGACAATGAGAGACAGACAGTAATAAGGATTTCTCACTAAAATAAGTGCTGGTTGGTGGATCAGATACACACTGAATTGAAGACCGACTTATTCACGGTCCATTGTGTGTGTTCTTTTTTTGGGGGGGGGGTTACCAAAGTAACTTCTATTCTGCTGCATCCTGTCTGGTTCTGGAGAGAGAGGCTACGCGTGTCTGCTCTCCCTGGCTGTAGTTCATTGGATGGCTCCCCCAGTCGTCTCTGAAACAACTAGATATTTAGCTTGCTAGATATTTTTCTGGTGTCAGCTAGGCAAGGGCAAGCTCTTGTTGAGCCCACGAGTTGAACAGTTCACACATGATCCTCCTCACAGATGCAGGTGCTGATTTGCCTCTGATCTGGGGGCATTTGTCTGTGATCTCCCAAAATAGTTGTCAAGTGGTAAATCCGGGCTTTAATCACATGTGAACTGTGCATTACTTTTCTGATTAATGCAGAACTTATAAATGTACAGACAAGCTTAATATTTGGTTATTTGTGATAACATGTATATATGACATTTTTAGATATTGCTGAATTTTTTTCAAATAATTTGGTTGCTGATGTCTGTATTTGGATATCAAGGCACTTGAGGCAGGGCTGTTTTACAGGCTGTGATGCACAAGTGTAGAGACAGCTCTGTAGGAGTGCATTCAGTTGCACAGCATACTTTAGAAAACAGAAGGGGCAATAGTCCAACACACATTTTTCATACTCCCCTTCCCATATTTCCATTACCAGTTTAAATGCATGAGTTGTGCTGAGAATTTATTGGAAATAAAATGTGTTTATCCCCGGAGCAGAAATTAGTTTAGCGTCTTTTCTTCAATAAAAACAAGTCTGCTCTCCCTGGCTGTAAAGACACACCTTCAAGCTGTTGCAATGGAATTTGGAAATCCCTGCCACGTTGGGCTGGTGTGCTGACTCGAAGAAGTTTTAACATTAGGGTCTGGGGATTATTTTAACAATATCATGGTTTTACAGAGGAGTGGTTTCTGTTGAGTCTTTCAAAAATAAAATTTGTACTTTCAGCAGCAAAAGCCAAACATAACTGAGCTGCAGTGCACTGGTGCCACAGCAGACATCACCAACCCTTGGAAAATCATACCAATGTTCATTTTGTGTTGTTAGCTAACAGACCAAATTACCCCAGTACAAGGAATCATGTCATTTGCGTGCACTTTGTGAATGCTAGAACCTACCATTTTCTGTGCAACCCTGAAGAACTGAGAGACATCACGGACCACATTCCCAAAGCCATCATAGAGACGCACATACGGCCTGACCCACGATGGAAGCTGAGCCCTGGCATCAGACATTTTAAACCTGTGGGAAAAGTCAAGTTTGGAGTTTGAAAGAAGTGGGCATTTAGGTGAAAGTATAGGTTCCTCTTGGATTATGAGTCTTCTTGAGACTAAGATCCATGATCTCTCACGCTGTGCCCCATCGTTCAAATATCATATAGTCCTCCACTCTGTTGTGGTCTGGGTAGCTCTGAACTTTATGTTGCACAGTGTACATGAAGCAGCTATGCACAGCTGCAATATATATTTAGGGACAGAGCCAATGTCAAACCCTGTGAGGTCTCTATTGTTACTGCTATGTTTGTTATTATTACGCTTAGCCCTTTTCACTGCATTTTTGACCCCCTAAACATATACGAAAAGTCTATTTTATTTGGCAAAGTGGTCAGGCCTGGTGAAAAATTGGATATTCTATGTGTCACATTAGGCTCGGCCACTAGGTGGTGCTACTATTAGGAAAAGTAGGTTTAGGCTAATAACTCCCGCATTGTTTATCTCACATTCAAAAACCTTATATCCATGCATTCGGTCAATGGAGCTGCATCTCCCCATATAGGCCACGCCTATTTCCGCCTATACGTTTTTTTCGCTACACTGCGAAATGTCCATGCACAACGTTCCGCGTTCCATCTATACGTTTTTTTATCCGATTTGCATGAAACTTTTTGCGTAGCATCTGGAGACCGTCCTGGCAAAAAAAGTAATTTAAAGTATTTTGATATTTCAAAAAATAAGCACGTTATAAAATTAGCACTTCCTGTTGATTTTTCGTCAAAAAAGGAAGTGGGGCCTTTCTCCACATTTGTATGTCCGATTGACACCAACCTTGGGTCAATAGTTCCTTATGTCTTCATTAGGCATCGTGCACAATTTCAGGCCATTGCCACATCGGCACGTGTGATTAAAATGAAACTTGGTACGATGATTGCCCATGGCTCCCTGAGGCTCACTTAAAAAGGAGAAAAAACCACGCCACTGGGTTGCACTCTGGCGGCAGGGTAAATCCCTCTGCGGAGACCGTAAATACTGAATATGTAATTCACAGGGCATGTGTAGACTGTTGCCTGAAGCTCACACACCAAAAATTGTGTTTGTAGCGCCCCCTACAGTATTTCAACAAAGCAGCCCCGACGCAACGTTTTCACTAATATGTATGAAACTCGGTAGGCACGTGTAACGTTTTTACTCTCGGCGGCCATTTTGTTTGTCATTTTCACTTTTTTGCCTTGTATTTGAACAAACTCCTCCTAGGGAATTTATCGGATCTGCTTCAAAATTGGTCAGTACAGTCCAAAAATATTGCTGACTGAACACCGTACTATTTGCGACTGTACGTTGAAGGGCATGTCCGTGGCGTGCCATCAAAGTTGGCCATTTTGAATTCCGTGGTCTTGTATTTGAACAAACAAACGAACTCCCAGGGAATTTATCGGATCTGCTTCAAAACTGGACAGTACACTTGAGAAATGTTGCTGATTAAAAGTTAAGAGATTTGTGACTGTACGTTGAAGGGCGTGTCAGTGGCATGCTGTCAAACTTTGATGTACCACCAGAAGACAAAAATTTACTATAACTTGAGTGTACATTGTCCAGTCAAAAAAGGAAGTGGGGCCTTTCTCCACATTTGTATGTCCGATTGACACCAAGCTTGGGTCCAAAGTTCCCCATGTCTTCCTTAAGCATCGTGCACAATTTGAGGCTATCGCCACTAGGTGGCACTCTTTAAAACTAAGAAATGTATATCTCCCTGCATCAGCACGTGTGATTAAAACGAAACTTGGTACGATGATTGCCCATGGCTCCCTGAGGCTCACTAAAAAACGTGTCAACAATTTGCCACTAGGGGGCGCTCTGGCTGCAGGGTAAATCATTCTGCGGAGACCGTATTAGTTATGAATTCACAGAGATAGACTGGGGCCTGTATCTCACATACCAAAAATCGTGTGTGTTTTATGTGAACGAACTCCTTCTAGGTACAGTACAATAAATTTCAGTACAATCAAAACAAACTGTACTGAAAGTTGTGCTATGTCTGACTGTACGTCAAACGGCATGCCCATGGCGTGGTGTCAAATTTCAACGACTGATTTTCAATGAAAAAGGAAGTTGCCGTAACTTCAGCGTACATGATCAATCTCAACGAAACTTCACATTGATCTGATTTGCATGAAAAAATCATGTTGTGGTCCGCATGTGTTACAGCGGCACGTGTTACGCAACAATTTTTAACGTTATTCTATCCTTCTATTTGTGTGTTGCCTAAGGGAGTCGGGCGAAGTAAGTTTTTCATTGTATGTATAAACCACTGTGTTTCTTACTATACATATGATAATAAACCTCTTGAATCTTAATAAGTTGTGTAATATTTGTGTTTTTTCAATTTCTTATTACATTCTGAATTCACATCCTTGAACATCAGTAGTCCTTGGGACTGACTGATTCACTGATTTCATTCCTTGAAAGTGGAACTCAGAGATGATTTATGTTTATTTTATTTTATTCTAGTTTCATCTAAACTAGTAGTAAAAGTGCATTTTTCACCCTGGAGAGACTGAGGCAGACCATCTGCACATGACTAAAATGATTGATTAACAAAATAGTTACAATTCAATTTTCTGTTGTTTAAATAATTGATTAATCGTTTCAGCTCTACCTATCTTAAATCACTGCCACTTGAGAAGAAATTTGTTGGTATGAGTAGTTCTGCATGAGGGCCAAAATTGTATGAAGTATAAGAACAAGTAAAGATGTCTGACCTCTGATCACACAGGAAGATGGCTCCATAGTCATCCTTGTGGCGAATGACTCTCCCAATAGCCTGATTCACTGCTCGGAAAGCCTGCTGTCTGTACCACTGCTGCCCAGACAGGTACTGCGAGCACACACGCGCACACACAAGTTTCTTTTGCATGCATCAGAGAGTGTGTGTTTTGGCCTAAAACATTACAGACTTTGTGGCTGTGGCTGGGCTAAAGCTGGCTCTAACACACATACACACAAGATGAGCCTGAACTGAGCCACTGAAACCACATCAAACCTCTTCAGTGATACTCAGTAAGCAGTTTACTCTAACCTTCAGCCCAGGAGTTTTCTTCCGACACATCTCATCCAAGAACTGCATCTTCAAGATGACTCGAGGGTCCATCTTTGGAGGGAAAGGAAGGCCAGTGATGATGACACCCCGACCAAAGGTGTCTGCAAAATCCAGACCCTCGCTAGCCTGACACAGGAAGACATTTAAAGAAATCCTGTGAGAGGGCAGAATTTGTGTAACCTTATATGCTATATGAAGGAAACTACAACTTAATTTCAATACCCTGAAATCTGTGACTGCCATCATATGAATCATACTACATTACATATTTTTATTGTAATGTATGATACATAATTTCTTTTGTATGACTCAATCATTTGTAGTAGTAGTAAAAAGGGAACTATATCTGAATTTAATAAGTTATTAAGTACTGACAGTATAGATTCCCGAAACCTTTGCACATATCACATTTATTTTTTTGTTCAATTTATGAAATAAAATGAAACAATGCATGACTGTTTGCTGCAAATATTGTGTTTTACGTTCCATACCACGGAGAGACTGTGTTTACATGTTTTCAATGAAAAAGAAATCACCAAAATCTGTTATTTATCAAAGGGTGCCCAAACTTTCACATAAAACCTTTTTAGGTCTTTCTTGATTCAGTGAACACACATTAACCTCACCTTCCCTCGACACACAGCAAAGAAAGATCCCCCTTTGGATGCTGGATCATTGACTTTGTTGTAATATCCATCAATTATCTAAGAACAGAAAGAGAGATCAACTGAGAAATCCTAAGGAAACTTTACCAGCTCATGAATTATTGTGATACACCTGGAGGTTTCATATTCATGCATCTAGGCAGTTATAGGTTATATGTATGAGATAAAAGCAGCCAACAAGTATTGGCTTCGTAAGGTGGAGTCATGGTGTCCTGAGCAGAGAATGGTGTCACACTCCCTCTGCCAGTGTTTCTATTTCAGCCTCTCTGTGGTTTGTTTACATAGAGAACAAAAACTGTTCTGGTGATTCTTATTTTGTTTCTGCCCACTTTGAATGAAGTTATGATATCACATTGATATGGAAGGTAAAATTGCTGTTTTTGTCTATGGAGTCTAAGCAAGTGTTAGTGATATACAGCTACTTCTGGTTAAACAAAAGTTCTATCTCTGTAGGGATCCTGTCAATGATGTGAGCCTGAGTCAGTGGCAGAAACAACAACTTTCAGTGGATGGACTTTGACAGGCACATTTGTGTCAAAGGATTAACATTATCCTATGTTGCAGCCATAAATATTTTCACATCTAACTCAGTGAATTAAGGGTTAATTTGCACAAATTAGCGTTGATGATTGTTGGAAAGACAAATAAAGACAGTTTTGATGAGTTTTATTTTGTTTTGGTCCAATGCGACACCTACTGGAAAGATAATTTGGTATATATAACATTTAATAAAAAGACTCACCTCAGTAAAGGTGCCCTTTCCTTTAGGTTCAACAAACATAGGCTTTACGTTCTCAATGCGATCTGCATGTCCATTAGCCTGGTAAGACAGCATACGCACTTTACCTGATTTTACACAACATTCAATCCGGAAATAATTTGGAACATTCAAAATAAATAAACAAAAATACACTGTAACAATTCTGCTCTTACTCTCCAGAAGTCAAGGGTCTTTTCCATTAAAGGGAAGGAAGGAAAAAACACTAAGAGACCATGAGGTACCACACGGCTCAGGTTGGCTGAGGAGAAAACACAACAAGTAACATATTCATGTGAAGACTGACTCTGATTCAAACAGACATTATGTCATATATTGCACAATGCAGCAAAATTGCTTGATCTCACCAACAGTGTTGCCTAAAGATGCCATGTTTTCAGGAACAAACCTGTCACAGAAGTAAAGATTATTATTTTTATTTAGATGGTCACTGCAAGAAGGTTGTGTAAATAATTTTACTATTGAAGTTACTGATCCAGATGTGAGGACATGAAACAAACCTAACACATAAGATATGGTTGACATAAAAAGAGATGGATAATTTTAGCTGATATTGCCCTATCGTGGATATAATGGTATCAAATTGGTATTTATGTTTCTGATATGAAAATAGTTTTTTCCCTGTACAGGCGGCACAGAAATGCTTTTGGTCATCTATCACTGCCACCACAAATGAGAGTGAGAGAGAAGAAGCAGCTCTGAACAGTATCATCCCCAGGGGATACAGCTGGGGTCAAGAAATGTTAGAGATGCCTCACTAAAGGTTATAACTATAAACCAGCACACATACTACAGTTACCAACATAAACCAAAGTGTTCTGAACAAACACATGACAAATATAAACCATAACAAAAATTTACATTTGCATTCTGAAACATAATATTATAATATGACCCAAGGTCAATTCAGCTCTAGGTAGGGCATGATGGGAAATATTAACTACTAATGTATTGAAAAGTGTAGAACTAACCTTCTGTCAAACGCTGAACTTAACTGCACTCCATCTGGGCCTCGGTCAATGACGCTAACAAAGATCTGGTCCCGCTCAATCACATGGCTGTTCTCCAGAGTCACTGGGAATTCTCTACACCAACAGCAGGACAAAAACACACTGATCAAGATCAAGGTTGACCTGCTGTTAATATAACAACATGAATAATGTCTGCAATGGGTCCTTGTAGGTGTGTGTGAACATGTCCAAACCACCTACTATTTTGTTCAATTATTTGGTGAAAACCGGTGTCTCATGCATAAACAACAAACTACAGTGTGTGTATGTTAACTCTGTAGCAGCCTGCTGCCATTTGTATGTGATTAAGTGAAGGGAAACAGTCAAATCAGAGGCTGCAGATTTATCAACTTAGGTGTCCTGCAACCTTCAGATGGCTGCAGGGGGCTAATGAACTATATAAGTAGTAGTATAAAACAGCCTTCGATACGGATACCATCAATCACTCATATTTATTTACTGAATTAGTGACATTCCTGTATGTAGTTATTTTTTTATTTTAGTGCCAGAACAAACTGAATCTGGATTTAATTATTTTAACTAAATATTATGGTTTGAAATTAAATTTAAATCATATTTCTTTCAATTTGTGAGCAATCCAGTTTGCAATTACGGTGTCTCAAAATTCAGCTTTCAAATTTTGTTTTTACTGAGAGGCACTCATCGGGGGGACTCTAGACTAGAACAGAGGAGCTCTGATTCATCCTTTCAGAGGACTTCTTTAGACCACGAGGCTTAATGGGTATGTAGGCCATGAGGGCAGCTGTGTAGTCCCGTAGCCTCTGCTCATCTGATGCAAGCTTCCTGACTCCCCCACCCAGGACCAAGCAGCGAACCTGGGGCGACAGAGCCTTCTCTGTAGCTGCCTCCTCCCTCTGGAACTCTCTCCCCAAACAAATCTGTGACTGCACCGACCTTCCAGCGTTCAAATCAATGACAAAAACTCACCTTTTTAAAATTGCTTTTAATGTTTAGGTTAGTCCGATGTGTTTTTAATGTTTTTACTATTTTATGTTGTTTTTGCTGCTTTTATGTTGTCTTTATGTAAAGTGTCTTTGAGTATCCAGAAAAGCGCTTATAAATAAAATGTATTATTATCTATTTGTGACTGTACATCAAACGTGCCAGTGACAACTTGTCCATTTCAGCAGATTCGCCATAAAATAGTGCTCATAACTTGAGTGTGCAATGTACAATTTCCAATAAACTTGTTACTTTCCAATAAACTTGTTAAAACAGTTTTGCCGTGAACATGTCCTCATAACTTCAGCGTACGTGGTCCAATCTCAATGAAACTTCACGTGTTTGATAACAGTCTCGCCATGAACATGTCTACATGACAACATTCAGACATAGTGATACCGCCATCTACTGGCAACAGGAAGTAAGCGCTGCGTGGCGATTTTAAGCTGATTTACGTGAGATTTTCATGTTGTTGTCCGTACGTGTTACGACGGCACGTGACGCAGCCTCAGCACGCCCCGAGTTGTGTGGAGTGCGAGGTCCCGCTCAACGCTGCTTGCAGCTTTAATTATTATTATTATTATTATTATTATTATTATTATTATTAGTCTCTCCCATTTGTCAAGGCTGACAAAAGAACTGCTGCATCTCACGACAGGTATTAATTCAATTCAATTTTATTTGTATAGTGCCAATTCATAACAGAAGTTATCTCAGGACACTTTTCAAATAGTGCAGGTCTTGACCGAACTCTTTAAAACATTAATTACAGAGACCCAACAGTACCACCATGAGCAAGCACTTGGCGACAAGGGCAAGGAAAAACTGCCTGTTAAAAGGCAGATAATTAGCACTTTGTATTGACGTATTTAGCTTTTTTTTTGAGTGCACATGCTGAAAGCAAACCTTACTTAGCTCTGGGGACATGTAAACCGAGATCCACTGTAGTGTGTGGCAGTAGCATGGGTGACAAAAGGAAGCGGGCAACACTTTGCAGCACTTCCACCTCTTAGCTAGTCTAGTTACATAGTAGTTACCGTTCAGCCACCGGTCAGTAGTCAAGAAATAGAATTGTGCACCTCTGTAGGTATATTGAGCTATGAGGAGTGACAGGTAACTTACATCCTCATCTCAGAGGTGAATGAGGAGAGGGGAGAGAGAGTACCACTGGTCAAAATGATGCAGCGAACACCTTGATTCACCAGATCCTGCATGCTGAAGCCAGGAGAGAAGCACCAGTAACTCAGGATGTTGCCTACAAGGTGGAAAGAAACACATACTCTTAACGCCCTTTTAACCGGGTTTACTCAGAATTTGGACAGGTCAGCAAGAGAAACTAATGACTAACTAAAACTTTCAACAGGGTTCCATATCTGGTTCTGATATCCACAAAGAAATGGTGTTGGTATTATTAGAGTGTTTAGCCTCGGAGTAGATTTTGCAGTTTGAGTGCTGTTGAAGCATGAAGCTGGTCGTCCTCACTGCTTCTGACAGGACGAAATTGCATCATTTGAACAAACTGTTCTGAACTGACATGCTACACAACTAGGAAAAAACCTCTCTAACTCAGTGTGTGAATACAGGGCTTAATGATTCAACTGCTGTAATGGTGTGAATACTGTAACTATACTGTAATCACTACCTTGTTTCTTTGAGGAAGATGAAGCCCACACATCAGTGCTTTGTTTTTTCTTGTGATAGCTGGTGTCTCGATGGATATGGACCTGAGCAAAACAGATGGATATGATAACTGGTGTCAGTGTATACAAAACTAATAAGTGTGTGGAGATGCACAATTGTTTAAATATGGCTATTCATGGCATTTCATGAACACGTACCTTAAAATGAGCTGTATTGGACTGCATTTGCTGTTGTCTTTCTTTTTCCGATGGTTCACCACAGAACACCAGCTACAAGGAAAGGAAAGAAAAGAGGGTTTATTGTTGCTTCTGTAAAATTCAATTCAATTCAATTTTATTTGTATAGCGCCAATTCATAACAGAAGTTATCTCAGGACAATTTTCAAATAGAGTAGGTCTAGACCGAACTCTTTAAAACATTAATGAATTAAAATGAAACTGCAATGGCTCAATGGTGTGCTTTACCATTTTGGTAAAATGTCAGATGGTCAGATGTAGTCCCTTCAGGAATCTGGGGGAATTTTATTTTAGAAATGTTGCAGCCTAAAATGTCTGATTTCACATCAGCTTTTCTTTTACGTGTTGCAACGTTTTTAGGCATTTATTTGCAATGAAATTGTGGGGTGAATCAGTCAGGGTGAAGACGTTTGAACTTTGGAAAGAGCCAGGTCAGCAGTTAAATTCTGCTTCCTCTTTTTATGCTATGCTAACCTAAGCAGGTCCTGACTCCAGCTCTATACTTAACACATGTCTGTGTGTTAAGTATAGAGCTTGAGTCAATTTAAGATCCTTTTGATCTCATTCTGAGAGAGAAAGTGAATAACTATTCCAAAAATCTTGGACTACTATGTAACTTCACTACATTGCATACCTGTATGATATCAGCCAGCTTCTGTAGTCCACTTGTGTTCAGGAATATTCCTGGCTCTGATGAAAAATGTGTCACAGGTGATTTTGTACTGTCACAGTGACAGACTTAAACTGTCAAAGATATTGCTTTACATGGAGTTCCCACTAATACAGTTGTGCTCATAAGTTTACATACCCTGGCAGAATTTGTGATTTTTTTGGCCATTTTTCAGGATTTTTCAATTACTCTTTTTAAATCATAATGACAACAGAAACTACCCAAATTACCCTGATCAAAGGTTTACATACCCTGGAGATTTTTGCCTGATTACATGCACAGAAGTTGGCACAAACGGGTTTGAATAGTGTAATGGTCAAAATTGATGGCAAGATGAATGCAGCATGTAATCAGAAAATACTGGAGGAAAATTTGCACTCATCAGCCCGGAAGCTGCGCATGGGACGTACTTGGACGTTCCAACATGACAACGATCCAAAACACAAGGCCATGTCGACCTGTCATTGGCTACAGCAGAATAAAGTGAAGGTTCTGGAGTGGCCATATCAGTCTCCTGACCTCAATATCATTGAGCCACTCTGGGGAGAGCTCAAACGTGTAGTTCATGCAAGACAGCCCAAGAATTTACAGGAACTGGAGGCTTTTTGCCAAGAAGAATGGGCAGCTTCACCATCTGAGAAAATAAAGCGCCTCATCCACAACTACCACACAAGACTTCAAGCTGTCATTGATGTTAAAGGGGGCAATACACGGTATTAAGAACTGGGGTATGTTAACTTTTGATCAGGGTCATTTGGGTAGTGTCTGTTGTCATTATGATTTAAAAAGAGTAAACACAGTTGTTTGATAATAAATGGCTTCACCCAACCACTAACCATGAGTGAAAGAAAAGTTTTTGTTTTATCATTCATATTCTCTAAAAAATGGCCAAGAAATCATAAATTCTGCCACAGTATGTAAACTTATGAGCACAACTGTATGTAGGTATGAATGGAAATTAGGCTGGATCTCACTGCTTTTCATGGCAAGACACGCTCTGCATAGCATTCAGTTAGTAGTAGTTTTGTGCCTTAATCTAACTAAAATGCGACCAGGTCCTGTGGTTAATCCATTCATTCACTGCTACTTTCTTTGAGGAGCTTGCCATTGGCACAATTTATACTATGTATACAGTTTTTTTTTGTAAGCTTTTTGCACATCTCCTGATGACCATGGGTGCCTGACTAATCTTAACACTTGAATGCTAAGTGGGGCATGTCTTGGCAAGAAAAGCAATGAGATTCATAATTAGGTGGAACAAAGACAACATATTCAAGATACATCACATGGTAGACCGCAGAAAATGTAACAGATCAAGTGACATGTTGTTGTATACACAAAAAGCCACTGAAATCAAGCCATACTGACGTCCTGCTAAGAATGTACTGATCTGCTCCAGAGCTTCATAGACAGCCGTCTTGCTGTTGTAGGTCAGGTGGGCTCTCTCCAACAGCTCATAGATGAAGCTGAAACAGATGTAGAAGGACAGAAGACACTGTTTGTATTGCAAGTGCAAGTCAAAAGGAAGATGTCCACTGGAGTATTATTGTAATGATTATAAGTTTTGTATACTGTATATGTTTAATATGTAGCATAACATTTAGAGATTTGTTGATTTTGATTCCACTCGTTTTGTTTTTTGTACCAGCAGCTGATCCCAGTGACAGGGGTCAACGACAAGGTTTGCTACAAATTGGCCCTAGTGCACAAGGGAGCCTCCCCTGTGCTTTCAGACCACAGAAGCTTCTCCACCAAATTAGCTCTTGTTCTTGGACCAGTTCCGTTTAGGATTCTTGGAGTGCTTGCTCATGGTGGTACTGTTGGGTTTCCGTAAATGTTATAACGAGTTCGGTCTAGACCTGCTCTATTTGAAACGTGTCCTGAGATAACTTGTTATGAATTGGCGCTATTCAAATAAAATTGAACTGAATTGAATTGAATTGGAACCTTGGTGTTATGTAGCAAATTAGCCTATGTTTCCACCAGTTTTGAGCGGAACCATTGTAATCAAGGACACACAATTTATTTTGAGTTGAAATGCTCCGAATGGTTCAAAACTAGGCTGGTTTCCTGTTGGTTTCCTGCACTTCATACCCAAACATCCTTCAAATGGAATGAGATAATATACACAATAAAAGTGCAATTCAAATCTGTATCTACCATACAGTTTTTTTTATTTTTTTATTAAATATTAAATGTGAAATTTCTTACTTCATTTTATGTCCTATTTTACATATAACCTATGACTTTCTGTTTAGGGTTCTGTATGAAGAATTTAGAGGCAGGCTCAGGGGGACGAACCAAACACTGGCTCTATATATGGCAATACATAATTTATGCACATTTCGCATTTGGGAAGTAGTTCTGAGACATTACACATTACACATGATGGTATTGCATGTCATGGCAATCTAACCAGTCAATATCTTGATGTCCACTGAGAGACAATGCTGTACTTGAAGCCGTTAGTAGAGCAAAAATGTTGCAATCCGCTTACTATCTACTACCACACTTTCACGTACATTCCAGGTTTCGTGACGCCTTTGTCACTTGGAACATCATAAGAATCGATGGCAGCTTCCAGATCCAGCAGTATCTCTGTCAAAGCAGACAGTTAAAAATGAAAGATCCCACAGAGCATGGTAAATGGCCGAAGCTAGTTTATGAGATAATCATGGGAGGCACTCAAATCTTATCTTCTTTATACCTTTAAGAATACTTACGCTTGATTCTAGCAATGGTGGCTATGTCCATTTTTAAACCTGAAACAAAAGTAATTACCAGTTCAAATTTCAAAAGTGCACATATAGAGTTGTTAAATTTTGTATCAATCAAATGCAATATAATTTGCCCATGTGTGAAACCTCAGTGGTTGAGACAATTAAGTATTCGGACCAGAGTTGAGGGATTCTACATTGAAATCCTCAGTGGCAGAGTCTCCATGGCAGACATCTTTAGCCTTCTCCACCAGCAGCCTGTCCACAGCATTAACGGCTGAAGCTACATCATACGGACTCAGGTCAAATGATGTTGATTCTTCACATGTCTTCTCCTGCAGACAGCAGAAACATCATATGATGGGATATTCTGCACTCTATTAGACCTTTAGAGCTTTGCTATCACATGCAACACCACAGTCATGTCTGTCTTCAGGATCCTGAATCTGTAGTCAGGCTGAAGTCTGCAACTTTCATCAAAAATAAACACTACATCATGTTATTTTTTATGGTTTGCATTTCCACTGATGAAAATGTGCCTAAAGTCATGCCCACTTTATAGTGTTGGGGATTTGAGATATATATGTATATATGTTTATGTATGCATGTATGTATGTATGTATGTATGCATGCGTGCGTGCGTATCCTTACATAATTTTCAATGCAAATTATAACAAAGAGAGCAAGTTAGTGAGGACAGAGTTTTACCACATTGTGAGCTTCATCAAAGATGACCACAGCTCCGTTTAGTTCGATATTGTGAGCCCTGCGGCTCTGTGGAACAAGGGGAGACAACAGAATACCAGCATTTATTTGGACATGTAATGACCATACTGACGTCTATGTTAATGTACTTCATAATGCAGTACAAGCAAACCGTTCTATACAATATTGTTATTGATGCTGATACATAGCACTCTAAGGGTCTATTTTGGGACAAAAAGGACCACTGTGTAGGATTTAGTGCGATCTAGCACTGAAGTTGCAGACTGCAATTTACGGATATTAAACAGTTTCCAATCACAACTTAGCTACAACTCAGCGAAGTCTAAGGTAATCATGGCAAAACGTTTATTTTGTCTGTGTCTATTGGAAAAGCAATAAAGACAATGGCTTATAATTCCGAAATGATGCATTTGTCTTTCATTTTTTCCCATGCCAGAGAAATTTGAGCCGAGAGATTTTCTTTTTTCATTACTTCAACTTTTAGTACAAAAGGCAGGAAATAAGCTCTCCCACCTCATTTAAAGCAATCTGACATCAGTGAGTCAGCTCACCTTTGGATCCAGCAGGTAGTTGTACGGCATAAAAATGACATCTGCTTGCTGTTTCAAGGAACGGGAGAGGTAGTAAGGACAGACCCTGCAGAAACATTTTCAGCTTTGAATTGAAATGTACAAACTTCTAAGACTCAGTTCACTATTCCTGAGGGTAAATGTATTTTTAACAACAAAGCTGCAGCACAAAGGACATAATAACAAAATAGTTCCTAGAGCGGCACCAGCAATCTTTACGACAGCAAAGTAAGAATGGGCTTCAGGAAATTGTAATTTGCAATTCTTTCAGTATTTTCTTTGATTTAATAATCCAAATGACCAATTGAAAAAATTATTGCCAGATTATTTTAAAAAAATATATATATATTTAGTTCAGTTCTATTCAATTTTATTTGTAAAGCGCCAATTCAGCAACAACTAAACTAGTAGAAATGACTGAGCTTGGCTCCACTTAATAAGACATGAGCTCCCCTGAAAAACATGAATAATGAAATTTTCGGGTGAGTCTCTGAAATATTGCCAATAGTTATTTTTGCCATATATTTATATATTTCTGTATCTTTATCATCATAGATCATCCATAAATGTAGGCTAGTATTCATCTATGATTTATGCATAAGGGGAAATTCATCACTAATTATTATAAACTTCACACTGTAGCTCAAAGATCAGAAAAAAACAAAACTTTATTAGTCCTAAATAGCCATTATTTCCTGAAAAAAGGGAGCTCCCCTAAAAGCCATGGTAAAGTTTACACACTGTTGGTTAAACACACTGTTGGCTAAACACCATGCACCAGCTTTTTCATTTTACTTCAGGACAGTGATTTGTTAGTAAATCCACCTCTGTTTGTTTCCAAATTTGACTAAGTCTTCCACATCAAGGATGGAATTCACCAAGTCTTTGTCAGTGCTCTTCCCTAAAGAAGAAAAGATAAAAATTAAGACTTGTACAAGGGGATACAAAAAGCATTTAACATGGTGACAGAATGGTGAAAACCTATGCAGGAGACAAAGAGTCTGTGGATGCGAATACAGCTAGCGCAAGCAAAAAGACTGATATTAAACATTTCACAGTCAATTTAGCTACAAGGTTTTTGTCTATTGGAAAATTATAAAAACATAATGACATGTAATTCTGAAATGATACATTTGTCTTCCATTTTTTCCCCTTGCCATGAAGAAAAAAATACTTGGAATCCCTGTATGTATTTGAAGGTAACTTTTTATAGCATTGGCTTATTAGGGATCGAGCCAGCGACCGCTGGAGGTCCCTATTGTAATTGCTAAAGTTATTATTATTATTTGTAGTAAACTTTGACTGCTAATTTGCCCGCCTGAACATATATGAAAATGAAATGTTATTTGGCAAAGTGGTCAGGCCTGGTGAAACTTAGATATTCTATGCGTCGCTATCGGGTCGGCCACTAGGTGGCGCTACTATTAAGAAAAGTAGGTTTAGCCTAATAACTCCTGCATCGTTTGTCTCACATTCAAAAATATATATCCACGCATTCAGTAAATGGAGCTGCATCTCCCCATATAGGCCACGCCCATTTCCGGCTAGAATTTTTTTCCGCTACAGCGCAAAAAGTCGTGTTCCATCCATGCACTTTTGTCCTATTTGCACGAAATCTGTCACATAGCATCTGGAGACCGTCCTGGCAAAAAAAGTAATTAGGGCCCGAGCACAAATCCTGCGAAGGCCCTATTGTATCTCTAGGAATGATTATTTTCTGCTCCTTCGGCTATATATTTGGAGGTCGCAGCATGCTCGAAAAGTCATGTAAATTTGCACAAAATTCAATCGTTCGAGAACTCGACGTATGCAATTGTCCCCGTGCACGGGCGTGCCAAATGGCTAAGCCACGCCCCCCAGAATCAGCCCCCAAGTAAGGCCGACATGTATGAAAATTGGTACGCATGTGTATCATGATTGGACAAGCAGAAAAGCCTCTTGGACCCAAACTAAACAACAAGTCGGCCATTTTAGATTTAGCTGTCATTTATGGCGATTTACACACATTGTATTTGAACGAACGCCTCCTGGGGAATTTATTGGATCGACTCCACACTTGGACAAAGCCATCTAAAGACATTAATGATTAAAAGTTGTGCTATTTACGACATTAAGGTGAACAGCGTGGACATGGCATGGCGTCCCGTGATGTCCAAATTCGAACCGTCGCCATGAAAGAGGGATTTGTCATAACTTCTGTGTACATGATCCGATCTCAATGAAACTTCACATGTTTGATAAGGGTCCCGCCCTGAACACGTCTATGTGATAATATTCAGTAATAGTGAGAGTGCCACCTAGTGGTGAAAGAAAATGTCATTTTTTATACTCCCATGTTCTAGTCCTAGCAGGATGATCAGATCTAGCTGAAATTTAGTCAGGAAATGCAAAACACATTGTTGATGATATGTGATGACTGGTGAGTGGTCGTGTCTGTGGCATGGCGGGAAATTTTTATGTACCGCCACAAAACACGAGTTTGCTTTAAAACATGAAACTGTGCACAAAATTCAGTCGTGGCGACCAGTCTTGGTCCCACAGATGGGTGTCGCAAAATGGATTAGCCACGCCCGCCAGAATCAGCGACACGTAAATTGGTATGCATGTGTATCATGATCGGACAAGCAAAAAAGCCTCTTACCCATAACCCAAACCCAACAGGAAGTCAGCCATTTTGAATTCTGTTGTCATTGTCGGTGATTTGCACATGTTGTATCTGAACGAACTCCTACTAGGGAATTTATCGGATCAACTTCAAATTTTATCAGCGCAATCTAAAGACATTCATGATTAAAAGCTGTGCTATTTATGACATTCCGTCGAACGGCGTGCCCATTGCGTGGCGTCCAATTTCGACGATTCGCCATGAAAAAGGAAGTAGTCATAACTTCAGTGTACATGATCCGATCTCAATGAAACTTCATGTTTGATAAGAGTTTCAACCTGAACACGTCTACATGACAATATTCAGATATAGTGATAGTGCCACCTACTGGCAACAGGAAATAAGCGCTGCGATGCAATTATGATCTGATTTCCGTGAAATGTTTATGTTGTGGTCTGCACGTTACGACGGCATGTGACGCGGCCGCAGCACACACCGAGTTTCGTGGAGTGCGAAGGCCCGTTCATCGCTGCTTGCAGCTTTAATTTAATTTAGAATGGAAAATGTCTACATGAAACAAATGTACAAAAACTATCAGTCTGCATCGTATTGCACTGAACTGTTCCATATTAAAATGCATCCACCCTGAATGATATCGCAGCCCATGTATCTAGATATTTATGGGATCATCTTAGAAGGGAAAGATGCACACCCCTAGGGCTTAAAGTCATTTTGTGTTGACTTTTCAGACCTCACTCATATGTACTGTATGTGGTTCTGTGTTAAACCATTACCTTCAACATTATTATAGTAGACACATGACCTGGTGGAAACTTTTCCTCTGCACATGTGGACCTGAAAAAAAGGTGATTCGATGGAATCCAAAGCAAGGAATACATTGAAATCTGTAATACCACCATTTCATCTCCAAAAACAACTTTAGAAAACCAACTTTTTGTGTCTAACCTGCTGCTTCTTACTACTTACTCACCCAAGATGGATTGCTTAGCATTTTGAATACTTTCTCAGCTCTCAGTTTACTGTTAGTGTTTAGAATCTTAACAACAAAACAACTAAAAAGCAACAGTGAGCTGAGAGAAATCTGAAGGCCAAAAAATTCTACATGTAGTCTTACAGCAGGAATAAAGCAATGCTGTCATTCACTTACCTTGGCGTGGTTGCTTTCCTGACGCATAACTTCCTGGTTGATACACAGCTGCTCTCTTGATCCTAGCACACAAACCTTTGGCCTGAATCAGCAGAGAGAACTGCAGTGTTACACTAATATGTGGGTTTACCAGAAATGGCCTAAAACTCACAACTCACCTCATCTGTGTTGTACATCAGAAAAAGGTAATGCATTGAAAAAAGCCTTCTGAATATTCAGCTGGACCTAGACTTAACACTATAAAGCATTTGAGTAAATTTCAAACATTTTTAAGGTGGTCATGGGTCATTATAACAGCAGTGCTAGTATCCTGATTTTCAGTTTCTCCCTGGTGTAAATGTTGCAAAGTTATCTGATCTGATATTAATTAAATTCCACAAGAAACATGCCTCACGTGTATGGTGGACAGGAGCAAATATTTGCTCCTGTCCACCATACACGTGAACATTCATCAGGCCTAACTAAAGAGTATTTCTTAAATCTTGTACTGCTAAGAAATTGCATTGTTTACCTGTATGAAGTGTTCTTTAACTCATTGATAACTTGTGCGAGCTGAGAGTGTGTCCTGGACGCATATATGATCTTGGGAACATCTGTGTAGGCTGGAAGACAGGAAGAACACACAATAATTACATTTCATAGAGAGGGATGTTGTCATGTCAGTAGCTGTCACTCTCTTTCTTTCTCTCAGAGAATAACTGAACCAATTCTGTCCCTATGATATCCGTGCATTAGGGATAAAGGCTTTTTCATTTGACTGGACCTTCTATGGACCAGCCTCTTCATTTGATTTTTAAACATTCACTCTAGCATCCACCAGTGGCTTGGGTTGATATAACATAGCTGGCTTCATCTATCTGTTTCCACCATTCAAACGTACCAGTCTGTTACATAAATGCTGCTCATGTACACAATGGAGTTGTATTAATGATGGATTTTAAAACCTGTTTTGCTATAGAAGCCTTAAGTAATGACCACCATGAGTGCTACATACACTTGCCCCACTTCTCACAGTGAATCACTTGATCAATTTTATCATCAATTTAATAATTCAATGGATAATTCTGTTGCCCATTTTATAATGTCCTACTGTGCACAAGCATAGAATGACATATTGTTGGGACAATTCCTATTTGCTCACATGCTGTATGTAAAATGCTTGGCTGGGTATTCAGAGTTTCATCCATACAGCTGGCATGAATGAAATTGAAAAGTGCCAGTGCTGTGATAGAATCAGAGCTGGGCAAGAGGGCAATGTAACCGGGATGAGCGGCTTCTATGGACAGCAAAAGAAAAGAGATGGTGACGGAGGAAGGTAAAGAGAAGGGACATATTACCCTCTGATAGGAACTGTGCCCAAGGCCTACCCTTGCTGTCGGGGCTCAGGTCGCGCGCAATTTTTAAACACACGCATTCACTGAAGGTGGACCTACATTACTACGCTATTACACTCTGCCACTATTTCCCAGTACAACAAATATTCCCCAGTCATTGGCTTCATGTTCTTTGCATTTGACTAAACCTTTTGCTGCCACACTTTTTTGTTTCTAATATTCCTTTAATTTATGATGTAAGCCAGGGCTCCAGAGTGTGACCAATTTGGTCGCACATGCGACCAAAATTTTTAAGAGTGCGACTAATAATTTTCCTAGGTCGCACTGGTGCACCTGACGCTGCCCGGGTGAAAACATAACACAGTTTATTTTGCAAGCGCACCATCTCTCTGTGTTCTCCTGTGACCGAACTCACACAATCATGGTAGGATCATATCGTGTTCTAAACCAATAAGAGACAGAGCTCGGGCGGGTCTTTGCCTCTGATTGGCTGTGGTCCTGTTCACCGCGCTAAGTTGCGTGTGTTTAAAAATTGCGCGCAACCTGAGTGCGAGAGAAGCTGACTAACTGAAACGGAAAAATAAAATAAACGCGGCAAAATGAGGGAAAATGAAGAGACGCAGAAATATTGAAAGTTTTTTCATTAAGAAAACCAAGCCTACAACCAGCCCTACTACTATAATCCCATCCATCCCCACTACTGAGAGTCCATCCCGTCAAGACACGGAGCCCTCGGTCCCTGGTGAGATGCCAAGCCCCAGTCCTTCGGCGACAGCATCAGACTCGGAACCAGAGGAGGAGACAACCGAGTCTGGGATAGAGCCCGGCTCCGAGACCCAAATTAAAAAGGCCAAAGGACGTAACGCAATGCACTGCCTGTACTGTCAGGAGTGCAGTCAGAATATGGCCGGAAATAGTGCATTTGTGAGCGTGTCAACAACGTTTCGTATCGAAACTTTAAAAAACATAACATGTCTAAAAATACACGATATGCGTGTATATAAGTGTGATAAGCGATAAGTGTGTAGAGAAAGTGGCCCCTCTCCCAGCTGCATTTCAGCGGCAGGTAGTAGTAATCATTATTATTATCATTAATAATTATTTTACTTGAAATGTTTGAGTTTGAAATGTTCAATTTCAATTCAGTGAAGCAATTTAAGCACAAGCACTTTTATTTGGAAATGTTTTCTTTTGCTTAGTGTTTTAGTTTGAAATGTTAAATTTCAGCTCAGTGAAGCACTTTAAACACTTTATTTTTCTTTTTATATATAATTGTGCTTCAAATAAAGACAAGCATTTCTCAACACCTTATTCTTGTTTAAAAATCATTCACATTATATGAAAGTTATGGAGAGCAATAAAAAGGTGACCTTATGGCGTTAAAGGCAACGCAATGAAAAATTTGGATACATTTTGTGCTGGTGCACCTAAAAAAAAAAGTTAGGCGCACCAGTGCAACCAATGCATAAAGTTAGTCTGGAGCCCTGTAAGCTAAGTTAGGACTGACAAATCTCCTTGCTTACAGTATCGCAATATATTGCATCATATTCCCTGTATTGTGATATATACCGATCAGCTGACACGTCGAGGAATGGTCTCCACCAGACCTCTGAAGGGGTGCTGTGGTATCGGCACGAACATGTGAGCAGCAGATCCTTGAAGTCCTGGTAAGTTGTGAGGTGGGGCCGCCATGGATCGGACTTGTTTGTCCAGTACATCCTACAGATGCTCAATTGGATTGAGATCTCTGGAATTTGGAGGCCAAGTCAAGTTCCTCAAACTATTCCTGAACCATTTTTACTTTGAGGAACAGCTTTTTATCATGCTGAAAGAGGCCGCTGCCATCAGGGAATACGGTTTCCATGAAAGAGTGTACATGGTCTGCAACCATGCTTAGGTAGGTGGTACGTATCAAAGTAACATCCACATGAAGGAACCGCACTAAGCTGGTTTAAGTCATATTTATCAGATCGCTCGCAGTTTGTACATGTTAACGATGAATCTTCAATAAATACTATAGTTAGTCATGGAGTTCCACAAGGTTCTGACCAATACTATTTACTTTATATATGCTCCCTTTAGGCAACATTATTAGGAATCACTCCATTAACTTTCACTGTTATGCAGATGATACGCAGTCTATCTATCAATCAAGCCCAATGAAATTAATCAATTATCTAAATTACAAACATGTCTTAAGGACATAAAATCCTGGATGACCTGCAATTTTCTGATGTTTAACTGAAATTCTTGTTCTTGGCCCCAAAAACCTTAGACACTCACTGTCTAAAGATATAGTTAGTCTAGATGGCATTAACTTGGCCTCTAGCACCACTCTCAGGAATCTTGGAGTTATCTTTGATCAGGATTTGTCATTTAACTCCCACATAAAGCAGACCTCTAGGACTGCCTTCTTTCATTTACGTAATATAAGAAAAATTAGACACATACTATCACAGACAGATGCAGAAAAACTAATCCATGCATTTGTTACTTCAAGGCTGGATTACTGCAACTCTTTATTATCAGGTTGCCCCAATAAGTCCATTAAAACGCTCCAATTAATTCAGAACGCTGCAGCACGAGTACTGACAGGAACTAGAAAAAGAGATCACATCTCTCCTGTACTAGCTTCTCTGCATTGGCTCCCTGTAAAATGTAGAATTGAATTTAAAATCCTCCTCCTCACCTATAAAGCTCTTCATGGTCAGGCCCCTTCATATCTTAAAGAGCTCATAGTACCCTATTACCCCTCTAGAACACTACGTTCTCTGAATGCTGGGCTACTTGTGGTTCCTATAGTCTCTAAAAGTAGAACAGGAGCCAGAGCCTTCAGTTACCAAGCTCCTCTCTTGTGGAACCAGCTTCCATTTGTGGTTCGGGAGGCAGACACCCTCGCCACATTTAAGAGTAGGCTTAAGACATTCCTCTTTGATAAAGCTTATAGTTAGGGCTGGATCAGGTGAGTCCTGAACCATCCCTTAGTTATGCTGCTATAGGCCAAGACTATCGGGGGATTTCCCATGGTGCACTGAGCTCCTCCCTTCCTCTCTCTTTCTGCACTCATTCATGTCCCATTAATGCATGTTACTAACTTCACTTCTTCCCCAGAGTTCTTGTGCTTTCTCGTCTTGCAGGTTCTTGTCGATCCTGGTGGAGCCTCCTGCCATGGTCCTGCTAGATTGCCATTGCCAATACTGTTGTTGCTGTGCACCTGTCTGTCTGTCTGTCTCTCGCTCTCTCTCTCTCTCTCACCCCAACTGGTCGAGACAGACGACCACCCACCTAGAGCCGGAGGATCTGTCCTAGGTTTCTGCCTTTTAACAGGCAGTTTTTCCTTGCCCTTGTCGCCAAGTGCTTGCTCATGGTGGTACTGTTGGGTCTCTGTAATTAATGTTTTAAAGAGTTCGGTCTAGACCTGCTCTATTTGAAAAGTGTCCTGAGATAACTTCTGTTATGAATTGGCGCTATACAAATAAAATTGAATTGAATTGAATGAATGGCAAGACCCAAGGTTTACCAGCGAAACATCACCCTGAGCATCAAACTGCCTCCACCGGCTTGCCTTTTTCCTATAGTGCATCCTGGTGCCAAGTGTTCCCAAGGTAAGCAACACACACGCACCCAGTTTAGATTATTATTTAAGATATAAACTTCAAAGACCTGAACACAAGCTACATTCAGAGCCTTCACTCTCTGCTAAACAGCCTTGTCCTACATCAGAAAAAAATGCAAATAAAATAACCAAAAAGCTAACAGAACAATGGCCAAGCATCAGGGAGAAAAAAAACTGAATTTGACAAAAATAAGCCTATAAAAAATATGTCTGATTGTAAAAATCAAATACATAATACAGACAGAGAAGGAAAACTCATCTCTGATCAATATTAACAGGAAATGATCTGCTCAAAAATAATCCAAATTCCTGGGGCGCCCAGTTATCTCAGTTAGTAGAGCTGGCACCCCATGTACTGAGGCTGAGTCCTTGCTGCAGTGGCCTAAGGTTCGAATTCGACCTGCGGCCCTTTGCTGCGTGTCATCCCCTCTCTTTGCCCCCCTTTCCTGTCTATCTCCAGCTGTCACTATCAATAAAAAGGCAATAAAAGCCACAAAAAATACAAAAAAAGAAAATAAATAATTAAAGCTGCAAGAAGCGTTTGGTGGGACCTCGGCATTTCCCCACGGGGCCTGCACGGTGGTTGCCCACCGCAGCCGCGCCACACCACGTCGTCCCATACCCAAGCCCTCATCGCCTGAAGCCGAGGGAAACCACTCTATGTCGTCATTGTCTGTACTGACCGATTTTGAAGTAGATCCAATAAATTCCCTTGTAGGGGCTTGTGCAAATACAAGGCAAAAAGTTCACCGAAAGAAAATCCAAATGGCCGACTTCCTGTGGGGTTTGGGGTATGGGTCCAAGAGGCTTTTCTGTACGTCTCGGCACGTTACACCATGCCAACCGTGTTTCATACATATCGGTGAAACGTGGCTGCTTTGTTGAAATACTGTAGGGGGCGCTACAAACATGACAAACACAATTTTTGGTATGTGAGCTACAGGCAACAGTCTACACGTGCCCTGTGAATTTCATATTCATAACTATTACGGTCTCCGCATAGTGATTTACCCTGCCACCAGAGCGCCACCTAGTGGCGGATTGTTGACACATTTTTTAGAGAGCCTCAGGGAGTGCATTGTACTAAGTTTCGTTTTAATCACACGCGCCAATGCGGAGATATTAACTTCTTCATTTTAAAGAGCGCCACCTTGTGGCGATGGCCTGAAATTGTGCTTGATATCTAAGGAAGACATGGGGAACTATGGACCCAATCTTGGTGTCAATCAGACATACCAATGTGTAGAAGTGGTCCAATTCTAAATCTAATTAACAAACTAATTCTGGTGTTTATTCGGTCGTGAAGTAGACAACCACTCAAATACTGCATTGCCATGTGATATATGAACATACTTGGTGTGTCACCGTCTGTAGCAGCCGTCCCCCAGGATGACAGAGGCGTGTTTGGGAACATCACCTCACCACCTAGCCTCTCTGCTATCTTGCGGGCAGAGACTGTGTCCTTGAAGTGCTCTCTCCAGGCCAGGGTGGCACACAGTAGGCACAGGGTTTTACCAGTACCTGTGGGACTCTCCAGAACCCCATTCACCTTCTGAAACAGACAGGCAAACACGTTTCATCTTTTGGTGATATATGTGAATATTTTCTGGATTATTGGCATATATACATAAAAAATGTGTGTAGGTATGTACAAAAAAAAGAAATTCCACAATGATTATTATCTTCTGGGAGACATCTGTGTCATATACAGTCATGAAATAAATAATTAGACCACCCTTGTTTTCTTCAATTTCTTGTTCATTTTAATGCCTGGTACCACGAAAGGTATATTACCTGAAGAATTAAATGAACACAACAAAAAATGCAGCTGATTCCATAATACTTTATGTCCTATTTGACATGCTTAAGCTTAACTGTATTCCCAGGGTATATAAGAGACCATTTCATGTCATTAGCAGGACTGCACATGCAAAGGCCTAGAGTGGTTTCCTGCTTACATTCAAGCCGTAGCACAACTCAGAAGTTGTCAGCTCTCACATAATGCCTAAAAAAAAAAAAGAATTCTGTGAAGGCACGAAGGCAGCCATCTTGGCACTGCTGGAAATTGGCATGAGTGAGAGACAGGTAGCCAAATAACTGAAGGTCTCCAAGACAGCCGTTCATTACACCAAGAAAAAGCAAGCCGAACATGGTACTACCAAATTGCTAGCTGGTCGAGGCAGGAAACGTCTTTCTACCCCACGAGATGATCATGCACTCATCCTTTCCTGTGTCAGGAATCGTCGTCAGACCTCCAGGGACCTTAAAAATGAGTGGGCACTGTCGAGAAATGTGACTTGTTCAGCAAGGACAGTTCGAAACTGACTTCTTGAAGCTGGTCTGAAGTCACACAGGGCACGGAAGAAACCCCACATCAACGTAAGGCAGAGGAACGCCCGTTTACTCTTTGCTAGGGATCACAAGGATTGGGCTAAGGTTCTCTTAAGTGATGAATCCAATTTTGAGTTGATGCCCACTCCAGCCCAGTGTTTCCTCTATGTTGATTTAGGAGCGGCGGCCCGCCGCTGTTAAATTTCTGCCGCCACGGTATCAGAAATGGGGCAGACCACAATGTAGTCACGGTTGCCTTTTAAATGATCCTGCTGACATAACGCACCCCCGTTGGCTGCCGCTCACATTGCAATTTAACAACAAGTAGAACTATTCAGAGGTTATTGGGGCTGTCCAGTTTAACTCCACATACTGTTGTGTTGATGTAGCTTATTGTCAAAACGTTCGCTTTCTTCCAAGTCAACTATTAAACTAACAGCTCCACCAAAAACGTCACCGGGGTGGGTCCGTTTTAATTTGACAACGTTCAACTTGTCAGTTCTCAGCTCAACGTCCTGATATCAAACATCTGGAAACATTAAAACGGTAAATATATTTGTTTGTGTCGCAGCGAAGTGTCAGTTCTGTTTCATATGTAAAACGTTTGCCGGCGTGACGGGGGGATGTTCAGACGGGCCTGCCCCCACTGCTAAAAGAAATCCTAGAGGAAACACTGCCAGCCAACTTACTGGTTAGGAGAAAGCCTGGAGAAGCCTACAAACCAGACTGTCTTGCCCCTACAGTAAAACATGGGGGTGGATTGGTGATGATCTGGGGTTGTTTCAGTATGGGTGGAACAGGGCAAATGCAATTGTGTGAAGGGCGATTGAACCAGGTCACGTACAGGGCTACTCTTGAAAATAGTCTTCTTCCATCAGCTGATAAACTCTTTCCTGCCTCGAATGACTGGATTTTCCAACAACACAATGCCCCTTGCCACACGGCAAGGTAAGTTAAAGCCTGGATGGAGAACCAGAACATTCAAACCATGCCTTGGCCTGCTCAATCACCAGATCTAAATCCAACTGAAAACCTGTGGAACATCATCAAACCCAAAATGGAGAACCACAAGCCCAAAAACAAAGCAAATTTGTTTGAACTTTTGCCACAGAAATGGGCTGCTGTGACAGCAGAACAATGTCAGAAGCTGGTGGAGAGCATGCCAAGACGCATGGCTGCAGTCATCAAAAACAATGGTTATGCAATCAAGTACTAACTCCTGTGTGTATCATATGACTAAAACAGACAGAAAAGAAAACATGGAATGCCTAAAAGCACAGTTTTTGGCAGTACAATGCCATAGCTATTGGTGTAAGAACTTAAGTGATTTTGGTTATTATCAAAAAAAAACCATGGGAAATGGCTAGATATCAGCTCTTAAATTAGACTCTCATGAGCTATTTTTGTTGTTATCATTACATTTGTCCAAACAAATGTACCTTTAGTAGGGATGCTCGATATTGGCTTTTTTTTTTTTTTCTTCCCGATTTTGTCCAACTCTCAATTTCCGATACCGATATCACCCGATACCGATATATGCAGGCTTTTTACACCAAAACTGTTAGGTAACAACATAACATATCTCCTATTGTGGAATGAACACATTATGCCTAATTTTATGGTGATGCCCTACTGGTAGGGTGGCCATTTCCTTCACATCAAAAAGGAGGACACTTTGCATACACGGGGACACGCAAGCAGATATTTGTTTGGTATGATCTGGTTTTAAATTTTAATGCTTTTCCACCAGATTACATAAAGGTGCATACACATACCACATAGCTAATAATAAATATACAAGATACAGCTCATGACAACGTGCCCTTCCAATTCAGATTGCATAGGTCTAATAAACATCATGCAGAAACTGTTCTTAATGTTTTTATCTGGATAGATAAAGGGTAAAAAAATGCAGCACCTTCTGAGTATGAGCATTTTCAGAATTTCAGTCCACCAACCAACGTTAGCTCACGGGACGTTCTCTGTCGCTGAGAGCTTGATTGACAGCCTGGTGATCGCATGGCGATTAAACACATGGCTCATTTGAATATTAAAATTAAAATTAGAAAAGAGCACT